GTGTGTGTGTGTGTGTGTGTGTGTGTGTGTGTTTTGGGTGGAGGGGAGAAGGTATAATAAATAATACAAACGGGCTCATGGAAGTCTTTGAGGTCCAAAGTGAATCCGTGAAACATTTAGATGTTGATAGGGCAAAGATTTAAATTTTCTTTCTTTTCAGTAGCGAATGAATTCAGACACCCTTCTCTCCTTTCTTAAAAACAACAACAACAAAACAAAACAAAACGAAAATAACAACAGCAAAAAACCATCACCACTTCCACAACACCTACAACAACACACAAAAAAACAGCTGTAGGTTAAAGTAAGTTTCGACTTTTCCTTCGAAAAATGACGTGTTTTATAGAGGTTTTTTTTTCTTCTCTGATTATATCTCAATTCTTAAAGGAGAAGATCTTAAAAAAAAACCTGGGATTCCTTGGAGCAGGAAGACCAAAAACAAAACAACGAATTAGTTCGGTCACGTAAAGTGATATGATAGTCTGGAAGGTGGGCATACTTTTTAAAACAAAACGTGCAAGGAAAACGAAATAGAGGACGCCCCAAAACATAATATATCTCGGAAGATGTGGAAGCATTAATTATTAAGTGTCACTGACGCTGGAAGTAGGAATTTAGACCAGAGAATATTGCTCCCATCATGATTGGATTCAATTCAGTTTGCATTTGCCAGTTGTGCACACCTATATATATTTCAAAAAATCTCTTTTGATAAAATTTTACAATATACTTCTTTTTCAATCTGTTTATTTATCTATTGAGTTATAATTCAGGTATTTTTATATTTTTTGTGTTTTTGTTGGGTTTTTTTTTTTTGGGGGGGGGGGGGTGTTTTCCTTATTCTTTGTTGTGTTATTTATTGTAATTTGCTGTAGTTTGTAATGTCGTTTCTTGTTCGTTTTGTTTTCGCATTTGTTCTGTTCTTTCTTAGCTTAATTGTTTGTTGTTGTTGTTGTCTTTTCTTTTGTTGTGGTTTTAAAAAATTGATTTAGGGGGGGGGGGTGATGTTGGGTGGGGGTGGTGCTTGTTCGAATGTGGATGTGTTGGAATGGGGATGGTAATTGACTTAATTACGTCACGGGTTATCGAGTCTTAGCTGGATCCTTTAAAAACCCCAGAAAACATGAAAACAAAAAACCCTAAAGTTGTCCTAATGCGTACATTTCGCTGTACCGGTATATAATTGTTTCTCACAGCCGTCGCAACATTGCTGGGAGACTGACCTTGATCGTGTTGGCGCCAGATCGGTTTCCTTTCAGCTAAAAAGAAAAGTTTCCTTCCGGCTGGCCGCCCGCGAGCTATGTGTCTTTCATACCCCATGCCTTCTCCAGAACGTTTGGGCAAACCTCTGTCTGATGTGTCATAGCGGTGAACTCAGACGTGAAAATACCGGTAGTTTAATGAAAGAAACAGGCATTTCTCCGCTTATTGCGCATTTTTATCAATTCCATTTTTTTTTCTTTTCGGCTCAAAACACCTTTTATGTACAATTTAAAGTACATAATATTATTTTTGCGTGGATTTTACTTTAAAAAGCTCATCAAAGTCAGAGAAAATATATAATATTTGCAGTTTCCTAGGACACTCCTAGCTTTTTTTTTTCTTAGTAAGGTTCTACGGCGCTCGCAACTGCTTAAAGTCATATGAGCGCCAAGGGGTGGATGTCAACAGAGAAGTCCAAACGGGGAATCAGGTTTACTGTGCTCTCCTCTCTAGTCTCAACAGCACAAAGTCTGCTTCGACTATCAAGGCACCCGGGAAATGCCATTTCACAAGAGAGTGACAAACATACAAAAGAAGTAGAGGAAAAATGACGATAGTGAGGATGAGGAAAGAAAAAGCAGCAGTCCCCCCCCCCCTTGTTGTTCCGGCTCTGTATGAGCATGCCATTGATAAACCAGCCCATTTACAATTCGACTATGCTTAAGAACATGTTAGTATCCCCCCTTTGGGAATGGCTTAAAGACAACTTCAGTCAGTAGTACTGCCCCGATGGGGGAGGCTCTTGCTTTGGAAGTCAGTATACCTTACTTTCTCGGCTATGTTCTCACTTATTTTCACTTTTAAGACCAGGCGATCTCGACCTCCTTCAATCACAAACATGTCAACTTGTATTCAAGGTAGATGAATATTTTCTTTCATAAAGAAAACAAAAAAACAACCAAAGTAGATACATGAATTAGCTCCAAGAAGGTACCAACAACTCCAAATACCACTTAAAATTATTTTTTTTACATGACGAGGGCCTGATTCCACCGCATCATGACATATTTGATGTGGTTTGACCCTCTTTGGGTTTGGCCTGTTTGAAGTCGGCTAGAATTTTTTTTTTATCGTCGAGGGGAAACAGCGATACTTTTCAAGCAATTTGATCTGATCCATCAAAATCTAAACAGACTTGATTTTCTGCGTCGCTATCGCGTATGCAGTGGATTGAGGAAATACATTTTACTTCGTATCTCAGTCTTCCTGCTGGGACGTTGTATCCTTCTTAGACTGTGTTGGCCCTACCTGACAGGCAGGGTTTATACAACCCGCCTCCTAGATAATCTAAAATGTTTCGAGAGAGGCCTCAAACATCAACGATTACAAGAGTAGATCTAATTTGGCAACATTTTACAGTTATTTCAGTGGAATCCAAACTAATTTTGAGTCTAGAGAGTAGAGAGCCATGAGAACTCTGCCTTGAGCCCCCCCCCCCCCCTCAAACAGCAACGACAACAACAGACAAACAAAAAACAAACAAACAACGAAAACAAAATAAATGAACAAACAAAAAACACACAAACACAATATTAAAAAAAAAAACCCTAAGAAAAACAGACCCCCCCCCCCCCACGCCCCGAAAAAACAACCAAACGAATAAACAATACTACCCCCCCCCAAAAAACAAAACAAAAAAAAAACAACCAAAAAAACAACAACCCAACAACAACAAAAAAACAACAAACAAAAACAAACAAACAAAAAAACATCAAATAAAAAATCTCCCTTCAAATTTTTTTAGATTAGTGCTTCTACTTGGTCAGTTTGCAAACATGTCAGTTTGCATTATAAATTATGTACTTTTACGGACAGGAGCAATTTTGTGGAAGAGCAACCTAGCTGAGAATGGAGACGTTTTCTGAGTACAACTTTCTAGTTGGCTATCTCTATACAAAAAGATGGGAGGGAGCTCTCATGGCCTTGAGGTTAAGGTGTTGGCCTCTCATTCAAAGGTCCCGGGTTCGAATCCGGGTGGCGACCGAAAAATTTTCTTTTCTAAAATTGTCTCCTTTCACCTCCTTTACTGCTTTCTAGCAATGTTCTGTTGTCTGCTTTCATTTCCACTTTCTGCCCCCACCCCCTCACCTCCTTTGTCCCATCCTCTGGGCTCCTGACTCTTTCTGCAGCCTTTCTACTGCTACTCCTTGGCTCCTCCTTACTGCTGTCTTTCAGCCACATCCCTGATCTTCTGGTAGGAAAGATCTACGCCTAGCCTTCTCGGACAAGGGCGAAAAATCTCGGAGGGCCCGTGTGCAAGTTGCGCACGTTAAAGATCCCTTGGTGGTCTAAAATCGATAAGAGTTGGCTTCGCCGCCACCCGGGCAAAATTCTAAATTTTCTATCAACTGAAAATATTAGGTGTGTCCCGCGCGCTCATATGACCTTATGCAGTTGCGAGCGCCGTAAAACACTTTACAAAAATTTTTTTTTTTAAATGGGAATATTAATTGCACCTTGTATTTTATGGGAAAACACACCAACAAACAATCTGTAATACCCGTTTCAATAACAAGAATCTAGATTTCTAGATTTTTATTTCTTTTTTTGCACATCCACAGAACTTCGATGACGAATTGCGGAAACTGGCCAGGTTTTTGGGCGTGGAGCTGTCAAAGGAGAGACTGGAGGATGTCAAGCGAGAGACGAGATTTGAAAACATGAAAAAGAACAAGCTGGACATAACTTTATCCATTTCCAAGACTGGCCAGACTGCTATTTATAAAAATGGTGAAGAATGATAATCTTGTTATATTTGAACTTTATAAAATACATATATATATAATATATATTTCCAAAAATCGTTAGGCTATATTACACACACACACACACACACACACACACACACACACACACACACACACACACACACACACACACACACCAACACACACACACACACACACACACACACACACACACATAACTGAAGATGGCTTTGAATTCAGAGGTCGACCTTATTAAATGAATTTATTGTATTGAAAAAGGAGTCACACTCATTCAATTACTTACCGTATTTTTTCCGTCGATCTATCCAGTTGGGAAAATGGGTGTAAAAAAATAATGTGTATGTGTGTATGAGAGTGTGTGTGTGTGTGTATGTGTGTATGTGTGTACAACCTCTGTGTAAACCAGCAATATGTAATTCTACAACCATTGTTGGGGGGGGGGGGGGGAGGGGGCTGTTACGTGTTCAGTCTCATTTCCTAAATAAATGAGTGGCAGGCGGATGCTCTGATGTGATTTGCTCCTTCTTTCCTATCAAACATATTATATCGTTCTTATCTCTCCTTCTTTTTTGTATGTTATCTTTAGTAATACCTCAAATCTTCGTCTCTAAAATGACTTATTTGTGTTGCAAGTGCCGTAAGACTTGGACTAAAATTAAACGTTTCCTGCATTTTCCCCAGGCCGGGTCGGAGACTGGGGCCGATGGTTCACCCCTGAACAAGTTGGCCAAATGGACGAGGAGCTGGAGGCCTGTGGTTTGCATCGTGATCCCAAGTTCAAATACAGCCTGGACGACACAGACTAGTGGCCACCGCTCGTAGCTGCCCCGAGCAACGCCCAAGAACGAAAGTTTCAACCAACAAGATCAGGGCATAATGCTGCCGTCTTATGACAAAAACAAAACCAACAAAACCAACAAAACAAAACAAAACAAAACAAACGTAAATGCGTAATACGGTCAAATAGTGGGGTTTATTAAATCAGGGGAGAAACCCTTTTTCATGGCATGTCTTTTTATCTTGGTCTATAAATGGCTGCACGAATGAAATTAAGGAAGTTTTGGGCTTTTGAAAATATTCCCTTATCTTATATATATATATATATATTATATATATATATATATATATATCGATATTGTTATGACCAAATGAATTTCAATCAATTACTCCATAAGTATTTACTGTACACTTTAGCAAATCAGACACAAATTACACTGACCAATGAATATATTGACATAAAATAAACTGATCCACCAAATTTTAGTTAAGTTGAAACACACACACAAAGTTGTTATTACTATTTCTCGTCCTCTCTTGTGATGTTTCAGTTTTGGAATATATTAGGCGTTTTTCGGTCAGAAGACGGCAGAATGGACGGGTTACCTTACTTATTAGCCGTCGAAATCGAAAATATAATTCTCATATATTTTGACATGAAATACTGTTGCGCATCGAGGAGCATGCCTTTCCCCGGGTTATTAATAGGCCTGTAGATTGTTATGCATATAAAGCTTATTGTTGAGTGAAAAATTGCGATATAATACAAAGGGTATAATATTATCATTTCAATTATTTTTTTCGATGTCGAATGGGATCACAATGTGCAAAATCATTTTTTTAAAAATATTTTGACCACTAAAACTGTACATGTACCGTATCCTGTCTCAACTACTTGTAACATGCTCCGAAGATTTATATATATATACCTGTTTTCCCTTTCGGAAAAAAGGCTGACCAACACTTTGTCAAACACAATAATTATTTATATTATTTTTAACAATGCAGGAGATGAGAAATAACTGCAGGTTGTTACGTTTCGTACATTCCATTCATCATAGCAGTGGTTGGAGTCCAGTGGGCATGTGATATAAGCAAAAATTCTAATGGCTGTATAAGGTTGTGAAAAGCTCAAATTTCCTGCTCATTAGCTGCTATATTGTGTATATGTATCCGTTTATGTTGAATAGAAGTCGAAATATTTGCCATTGAAAGAGGTCAGGGTGGCCTGGTTTCAGAGGTAAAAATAGCTAGAAAATGGCCGCCAAAGTTTGGTGACTTCCATAGCCTGAGAGTACTTGGAAACTGAAATTTTGCATTTTTTTCGTGCCTTTAATCAATGTTTTACAGTAAAATCCACTTAAAAATTTGTTCTTAAATGGACATAAAATGTGTTGAGCCAAAAAAGGAAAAATAGAAAAAAATTGCCCATCTGCCTCCAAAAATACCGATTTCTTTGATTTCATTATTTTGACGAGCGCCTGATTTCCCCATGATGTCTCACATATGTGTCTCAATAATTACATTTGTAAGTGAAGAGGTCTAGAGAAAAACAAGCTACGTCACCCTGTTTCATAATGGATTTAGTTTATTCTTAACTTGATCTTTCTCTTATAAAATCTACATTAATGAATGACTTAGATCTAGTTGGTTTTTCACTTACTGATTGGTTTCATAGGGGTGTTCAACAAGCTCTGTTGTACGTTAAAGGCGAGTACCCTCATTTTTTCAACAACATTGTCTTATCCCATTTTTTCTCTTGAGCTCTTCACACCTAGATACGAAAAGACTGTTTAACCATTCACGGTTACAAGTGGGCATAATACACGTATTCATATAGCCTATTATTACAAACTAATATATACAAACTTACTAACAGGAGTATAGTTATATAAGCTATTGCATTCCACAGTTTTGATATATACATGCATACGTACTTATTCCTCTCCCGTCATCAGCTCTTGAAAAGTTGGATGGTTTATGAATCTCATTTCTTCGTCATTGATTTCTATTGGTAAATAGCGACCGCAGTATAACAAGGTTCTTTCTCAGATACACACTTCTGAGATACTTGAGTTTAAAGTTGTCATGCACTATATCTCCCTTAAATAAATAACACAAGTAATAATATGTTGTTTTTTTTAATAGAAAAAGAAAAAAGAAAGAAAGTTATAGGAGTTAGGCCCGAATTTTAGTGACAGTTTTACGGCACTTGCAATGCAATAAGGGCATATAAGTGTCAAAGATCTGAGGGGTTACAAGAGAATACCAAACAAACAAACAAACAAAAACGGAAGGAGGAGGAATACGGACAATAGACGTTTGATAGGAAAGAAGGAGCAAACCGCACCAGAGCACCGGCGAACCAAACACTGTCAGGTCTAACAATAACTTTAACGTAAAGATGCAGAGGGTGATCTACATGGCTACATGCAGGGGTTCGGACACCTGGTCCTCCCAACACTCAGAATTCCGAGTCAGAATTTTATTCTTCTGGACTCGCGAAATCGCTGCTTCAGAATTACAATGTTCTCTCTGCTCAGTAGGCTTCCTAGCTTTAAGAAACTTGAAGTCAAAATTTTGTTTCACAATATGTCAAGCCTTTTCGACTGAATATCTTGATAACTACTCTAGGTATTCTTACGATTTTGATAGAGGGTATAGAACATAATTGTTTTTTGGCCTCATAGTCTTAGTAACTTAAAACGGCCTAAAATGTCAGATAGAATGTTATTCTTTTGGCCTCGCTAAATGTCGAGAACTTTTAATTTTAAGTTGTTCCGGTTGCTCATTTCCTTGATGTTTATTGGTCCTTTTTGTGTGCAATTTAGATCTAACTTCTTTTTGCCCTTTGATCTTTCACAAAAACTTTGTCATCATTTATTGTATATTATAATTATTTTACGAAAAAAGCCGCGTTTGGAACATTAGAAAGGAAAGGAATAGTTAGTGCTGTTTCTTATTGTTTTGAGCATTGTACAATTTATCAGAAACCTAATTAGTAGAATAAATTAGCCAGCTCACAATTTTATTTTAAATCATGCCATCGTGTCATCATGAAAATGAAAAACAAAATATACACACTTTGTACTGTCCCCGTGGTTTTATGCACCCCGCTTAATTTAGCAAAATTTGATCTTTTTTTTTTCATAATTTCTGATTATTTTCCTTTATCACTCTTTGTTAAAATTAACAGAATCGCATAATTTCACATTTTTGGGTTCGGTTTGCATAATTTCAGAATTTTTCTTGCATAAAACGACGGGGACAGTTTATAGCTCACCTGGTGCGGTATATTGCAATGGATACAGATTTATTGCATAGTATATTGATGTGTCACAGAGATGTCCACATTGTACTTATCGCACATTCTTATCCTTGTATATGTCATTTGTAATCGTTATATCATCAAAGACCAAGTCTTAAAGAGCTACAGTCGTAACACAGGCATACCCAAAATGTAGGCTATTGTTTTATTCTTAATAGTTTGATATTAAAAGAAGATATATCTACTCATTATCATGATCCTTTAGCTTTCATTTTTATTTTGTGTGTGTGTGTGTATGTGTGTGTGTGTGTGTGTGTGTGTGTGTGTGTGTGTGTGTGAGTATGTGTGTGTGTGTGTGTGTGTGTGTGTGTGTGTGTTTCTTTTGGGGGTGGGGGGATTGCTGTTGCATT